GAGGAGAGACATCAGATTTGTTTAGGCATAAGGACATATCTCAATTTACTCCTTGGTTTTCTTCCCACTCCTACCCTGGTAGGCCCATTATTTCCCACTTCAGAATTAGCACATTTGCCAGCAGAACATAAAGGCAATGACTAAGGAAAGCTGCAGTCTCTGCCCTTGGAGCATTTTCTGCCCTTAGGAAGGGACCTTAGTTGAAGCCATTTGGAAACAAAACAGCAAGTGCTCTGCTGACAGCGAGTGGAAGCACGGGGGGCCCTGTGAATCTGTGCTTCCCAGGATGCTGCCAAGGCACAGGCTGGCAGGGTGAGTGAATTCCCCATCCCCAGACCATGCTCTCCGTGCTCACTTTCAGTGTTGCCTCTGGTAGCACTGCTCTTATTGCCTTAGGGTAGCTCTAGTCATGCATCACATGTTCTTACCTTGTTTTTTTCCTTGCACAGAGCTCTGTCCTTCCAGAACAGCATGTATTGTGCCCCAGCAAGCACCAAATCAGCAAAATTTCTGCACTTTGGTAAAGATCCAAGACCACACCTACAAACAGGCTAGTCAGAATCCAGATATTTAATAGCCTAATGGAGAATCCACTTTCACCTCTCCCACCTCCTCCCTCCAACCAAAACTTTTTAGAAAAAGAGGCAGCAGCTAAGAAAGAAGCTGGTGGCTACATTTAGCTGGAACACGATTTGAGATTTTGAGGGAAAACCCCTGGCTGCAAAGCACTTGGCTGATGCAATCTGAGAAAGAAATAGGTTTCTACCTATCAGAAGAGGAATCCTGACATCAGTGGGTCTGCAGCAGCTCAGCTACTGAGAGGAGGAGGATCACAGGACCCACAGACAAGGTGTGCAGTAGGAGAATACACCCCAAGGCCTGACTGTCTTGCAGGGGGTGCCTTGTTGGTGGCTTCCATGAGCTGCACTTGGCTCACAGGGTACTGTGTCTGTCATGGTCATCCTCTGCCTTAGCCTCCAAAATAGGTCTTGACTAAGTCCTAGTCCTTAAGCTGTGATTTTCCATGTAACAACCTAATGATGACAGCCAACATTTAGCGATGTTTGACTTGACTCCAAGCTCAGCCCAAACGTCTCACTCATGTCATGCCAGCCCAGATTTCACATATGAACCCAAGGTTTCCTTCACTGCTGGGCTGCTGGTTTTCATGAGTGTTCTTGCCAGTGCTTTTGTGTACATGGGAGCTGGTTCCTCTTCCAGCCATCACAGTCTCTTCCAGCACCCTCTGCTTAATTTTGCCCATGACTTTTAGGACACCATGACCACCAGAACGGAAGCTTGCATGGCAGCCAGTGGGGTCCAAGCAGCTGGCAGGTTTCCAGGCTTGTGGTTGCCATCTTTTGTTACAGGAAACACCCTAATTATTTGGGAATGCACTGCACTAATCTGACAAGCACCTAACTTCAGGCCTGTTGGCTTTTTCAAGACTTTAAAAACAAACAAACAAAAAAAAAACCAAACAAAAAAAAAAAACCACCACTGACTGCAGACTGCAAACACCTTTCCCAGTGCAGCACTCTTTGCTCTGCTCACAGCTGAAGGAAGTGCATGAAGATTCTGCACAAGGAGTAGGTTTGAGCGGAGAGCAGGGCATGGGCTGGTATCTCCTACAGCTGTTCAACCAGGCCAGACAGTTGTATCTACATTGGCCATTACCTTTCCCTGACCAAGAGCTGGTGGGAAGTAGGGGACTCTGGATAGGGAGAGCTGTGGGGTGTCCTGGCAGTCCCTCAAAACACCCGTGCAAAACCTCCACTACAGAGGCACCTTCTCTGCAAAGAGAGGAGGTCAAAACTCACCTGGAAGGAGCACTGAGCCAAGCAGGCAGATTATGTGTTTTAGCAGGTATAAGCAGAGGCACTGCCAAATAACCAGGCAGACTTTAAGCCCTGGGATAATTAAGAGTCCTGTACTCCTACCCTAACTTGCAGCTTTCTTGTACTTTTTTCTCCCCTGGCCACATTCAGATATAAACTTTTCACAGCACAGAAAAACAACACATGAACAGCCTTCTTTTATTCTCCCGCTTGATCCTTTAAAGCAAAAATAAAATTCAAATTACTCTCCCTCACCAAAGAGAGAATGAGAGAGATCTCCAGTACAAAGCGTTTCTCCCAGTCCTCTGGTATCTGTGAGGCACAGTCCTGCCACCGGGGTGTGAGGTTTAGCAGCTGTTTGCAAAGTTTCCCCCTGGACCATGGTTCATATTTCAAGCACCTCTCAGAGACCACAGGTCTGAGACATGGTTTTGAATCTTGTCTAGTTAGCTTTTAAGTCTGAATTGTTATGAAGAAGGGTGACGGAAAAGATAGATCAAACAGATGACCTTGACAAAGGAGGTGCCTGCTCCTTGGTTTACTTCAAATCCTTGAAAGACTGTTATTGAATGTAAAAAAACCTGCCTAAAAACTCAAAAAAAAAAAACAGTAATAAAAAGCAGCTAATGTATCCAATTTTTCTGGCCAAAAATTAAGGCACTGGAAGGCAGGCTTTTTAATGGCTATCATTTCTCCTGTGTTATTTGAAGATCCCCTTGTAAACGGGAATCCTGGGTCTGTTTTGCCATCTGTTCCCTCCACTCCTGCCTAGGAATCCTGAAAGGGTATTTATTGTATATGCAGGTTCAGTGAGGCCCACTTACTATAAACAAATACTGCATGAAATATGGTGGGGCCAGCTTTTTCTGCAGTGCCTGTATTTATAAGGAAACAGTATAAAAACAAATATGTAATCTGGAAATAAACCTGTTAAATGAATAAAAAGTCCTATGGAGCAAAACATAATGATTAGCAGAGCCATTGAGGGAAAGACCCTGTTAAGGGAACACATCTGCTGTCATCCACTTTGCTTTTCCCCCCTGATAAAAATCCATTTAGAAGCAGCCATCAGAAAATCATGGGGGAAGGGACAGCAAGAAGGAGGAGATGATCCAACCTAAAAGCTACAAAACCGACCATGGCACTTTTGCTGGTTCTTGAAATGCCTCTTGAGTCCTGCACCCTGCTGTCCACCAAATATAATCTATGTTATTTACAGCATGTACTTGGTACAGATTACAGTCACTCAGCTGAAGGAGGACAAAAAGGGAACTAGAAGTAATAATAAAATTGAAAAAAAAAAGAGCAGGAAAGCAATTGAAGGCCAGCATCATGTGCTGAACAAAGATTCAAATAAGGAACTTGCGGTGCAGCATGTTTGTGCACACATGCATAGAAAATCATATTTTGCTTTTGACCAATTGCACAGAGTGAAAATACAGAAGTTATGCAGAAAAGCAGCACAAAATAAACATGCTATAGAAATGTAGCTCAATCATGACCTCTGATTGCCAGATTCTCCCTTATGCAGCATCGCTGACTCAGAGGCAGGAAGTGCTATTCTAGCTACCTGTTCCTACCCACTCTGTATTTACAGACCTCAAGTAAAATCACAACCTGCCCCACACCCACTTCACCCCACCCACATAGCCAAAGCCAGCTACAGATTGGCACTGAGCAGCGCTTGCTGTCACGCTCCCTCCCCATGGTTTACATTTGCTCCAAGATCTTCTGGGTATTTCCCATCCCAGTTTCTGCTTTCCACTGTGGGTTACCTCCCCATGGAATGAGTTATTAATACTCCAGTCTCTACCGACAGCGCAAACAAAGCAGGTACGAGCTGATGCAACCCTGGAAAGTGGTGCACCAAACACTGATGCAACCCCTTGGAGAGCTGCAATTACTCCCCCGGAGTGCGTGGGATGAAGATGCCCTGCTTACTCTCATCTTGACTCTTGCTTTCACCTTTGCCTGCCAGCACAAAACCTGGCGTCACTCTGCAGCTCACATCTTCCCAGTCTGTGGTTCTGGTTGTGCCCTCTCGCCAAATGTTCCCAGGTAGAATTATTACTGACAATGTGCTTTTGCTTCGTCACACGTGTGACTTCACTGTCAAACTGAAGAGCCCTGCCTTGCTACTGTTTTTAGCATCGGGGTCCTTTTGCCTCTCGCCCATCAAAGTAAAGCAATAAAACCTTCACCCTCCTAGCAAGGGAGACAACGCCCGTGCATTGACTGAAAAGATGAGTAGCAGATGATGGGCCTGTGGCTTCCTTTCCCCATCCAAAGCATGGAGTAAGGTGTCACATAGCATAATTCGAGTACTAATTGGCAAAACAGGCATAATAATTTGCTTGAATATGCACTATGATGATGATGTATTGTTTGCAAATTATTAACCAGCATTGACTTGCTGTCTTCAGTGTATGCGAGCTGTGCCTAAAAGCTTAATGCATTTATATCACTACAGTTACTACTACTGCTCACTGACACACTTTAGTATTTTCATTGCTTTTTCATAGCTGACATGATTCTGATGGTATGTAATTAAATATTTTACAAAGATAGGGTCTGATCCGACAACCTTTATGCACATGAATAACTTCATTATATTCAGTGCCTCTACACATGTACCCAAAGCAGTCAGGCTGGGTTCCTATTGCTACAAAAATAATTTTTCCCCTTCTGTATTCCTCTTCTAGGACTTTGATTGAATTAATAAGGGTGGAGGAAAAAAGACCCTTAAAACTCCTTCACATTTATTTTGTGCATTGAAACCTTCACCTAGGATTTAAATAAACTACAAGAACACTGTTGTGGCAGTTATGCTTGGCCAGGGATAGAAAGGACTAAGAGTTTTTGTTTTGTCAGACTGAAAGACATATTGCTTTTTTGCCAGCCTATATCTCAGTGGGGTTTCTTGGGTCTGATTAGGAGTTAGAAGGGGAGACTTTTTTTTCAAAAATTTATGACTCACTATAAAATGTGGCAGATTTCAGGCATGAGGGTGTTTGCCCAAATGGTTTTTTCTTTATATTACCTGCAAAACATGTCACAGTCATATGCTTCCTTCAAACTGATACACATGTAAAATGCTGATGCACCAGTATCTTACAGGCTGCAAATGTCCTGTTCCCCACTGACATATTTACATGTTCACAGGAAGGTTTTACTTGTCTCCAGCAAGAAGCAAATCTGACCCAAAGCTAGACTGGGAATTGAAGACCTTACTTTGTCATAAAACCAGCTTTTCAAGTTTGGATTCGTATCTTCAGCCTACAGGCAGACTTGTCCCAGCTGCATTGTCATCCTGGCACCTGGTGCAACACAGTGCTACTCATCTAGAATAGCCAAAACAGTCAGGCTGGAGGAAAAAGGCGACAGTGGATCTTGGGATTTGAAGGCTTGGATTCATTTAAGAGAAACATAAATAAAATATTGCAGCCATAACCAAAGCATAAGCAAAAAGAGAGTGCATCTGGGCCACTGTGAATCCCAGGTAAAACACAACCCTTAACAAAACTTGGCACTTTGCAATACCTCTGCAGCTGAATTAAGGTATTTTTCTGGTTTTCCCACAGCAGGGAATGCGGGAAGTCTGTGAACTCAGCCAGCAAGATCCTCTGGTCATTTTATGCACACACCCTTACTTTACTACCTCATGGACCCCTGAAAAAGCCTCTCTTCCATCTTTGGGCAAAAAGGTAACCAAGTACAAGTTTCTGAAAACAAACAGGCCCTTTAAATTAAAGTCTACAAAATTATTAGCCTTGTATGAAAGCCAATATATTGCATAGTTACACCTATGTCTAACCATGCAATATATTGGCTGGTCACCTAGTCACCTAATCTGTGCCTGGGAAAGATTAACCCCAACCACAGCCCAGCCCAACCAGGGCAAGGACAGCCAACCTGGCTTTTGGGAGCTCTGCTGGATGGGCAACTTTGAGCGTCACTGAAATACAAGCCATGACAGGAGGTGAAACCTTTTTGGCACACAAACTGCAGGAGACCTTTGGTATCTGGACAGGAGTACAAAGACCTTTACTGGTCCTGTTTCCACAGCAGGGGTCACACCACAGGTAAATCCCATCACCAGTCCAACCTAAAATTAAATTCCACTCATGGCAACAATCACAAATGTGTTTTGAGACTAAGTTTTTGAGCAAACGGAAAGAAAAAGTTTTTTATAAATTATGTGATGCAGCGGTTCCAGCCTGACAGCTATACAGTAAGTGAGCATTACCCTGCCCATCAGTTAAGCCCAGGAAGGGGATGCTCCTTTTGAAATTCATCATCCTATAACAGTTGGGCTCTCTTCCTCCACCATCAACTGTTTTTCCAGGATCTGTTTAGAAAAACCACATCTGTCACTCCCCTTCCATCTTGCCCATCTCTATATTTTGGCTGGTGTGGGAAAACAAGCCTGTTGAACCTGCACCTCCTCTCCTTCCCTCCCTTCTGGATAGAGTGCAGGTTTGGGTTTCAAAACTGCTTCTCTTGGACTGACATGCTCTGCCAAGTTGCCATCAGGGACAAAATCAAGAGCACTGGAAGGGGAGGAAAAATTTGATCCCACATGACACATGGGGGAAAGGCAACACACATCAAGGCCTCTGGAAAACAGACTCCTTCCTGGCTTTCCAGCTATGTGCACATTTATGAGGTTTGACTAAAATTCAGCTGAAGCATGCACGCCAATGACTGCTTGTCCAAAATGAACTCAATTGCTGGACTTTTGTCCATTTGAGAGTCACCTGATCCCTCTCTGTGCTGCCTAGGTTAAGCCCTGTCAGCATCTGAAATGCCTCAAGTAGCATTAACCCTTTTGATGGCACTGCAATGCTGGATGAACTTTTCCAAAAACTTTTTAAAGCATGATAAAAACACAGATCAAGACAATCCAGTGACCCCAGCGCATGGATGGATTACAGCCAGGAATGGCACTTAAGAGAAGCGGAAGCAGGCAGTTAATGAGACACAAGGTTCACTTGCCCATGTGCACCTATGAATATGAACATATGGATTTCTTTATGTCTTGACCCCAGAGAAGGGGCATCACACTAGAAAGCTGCCACCTGGTTTCTGTGATTATTTCTCCATTTAGGGATTAAACAACATCCCAACCTCTGTGCATGTATTTTTATGTTGCAAATAGGGAGCACAGACAGTTCCAAAGCAAGGAGAGGGGTGTGAGAAAGAGGATTTCTAGTGACCTACGGGAAAAGAAATAAAGGGATGAGTTTGGGCCTGCCAAACAGCTGGTTAAACTCCAGACCTCAGTTTAAGACTGTTTTGAGGCTTGTCTACCTCAAAGAAAAAGAAAAAGCACTTTCTCCTCTGCCTGCCTTTGTTTTCACACAGTTCTCTCAATACCACAGGCCATAAACTGCTCCATGCAGCAAGATCCAGACTTGTCTCCTCACCTGAGTGAAAAAACAATGTGTTTATAAACACTTGGCTTAGGAGAGAGGTACAGGCGCCTGGTCAGACAAGCGCTCAAATGTTTTTAATGTGTTACCACTCCTTTTTTTCAGCTGTTGCTGGCTACTCCCATCTCCCTGAGCCTGTACACGCTGCTAACCCATTGTAGTGCAACCTGTGGTGAGGCTGTTGAGCCCATCTCAGCACGGCGCCAACCCACCACTGCCTTCACCTTGGCTGGGATACTGAGAAGAGGCTGCAATACCTATTAATCATAAACCCTGGTGATTAAATCCATCTAGCTATTTCACTCAGCTACAAGCAGGGGCAAGGGCTGTCCTGGAAGCCAGCTCTGTCCTGCTGTCCAGCTGCCTGGCCATGCACACAAAGCCAAGGAAAGAACTGGGTCTTCATCTCTGTTTAACTTGTTGCTTGTCATGGGATTTCCACCATGGTATAACATTGCCAAGTGTGAGATTTTTCAGGATGACAGAAGAAGCTAAAAACTTCCATCAAGCCTGCTAAAACCTTCACTGAACATAGGCAGGGGCGAATGAAGAAGGATGGACCCTGTTCCTGTCCTGCAGACACCCTGCTTCACACCCTGGGAAAAGGGTATGTCAGGATCGCAAGCACAAGTCCAGAACTGTTTAGAAAATGAAAACCAAAGCTCCCTTGAACATCTTTGTTTCTATTCTTAACCACAATTTAATTTGCATTGATGTTTCCTGACCAATTCTCTCCTCAAAATAATTGATGGGAAAAAGATCAAGAGATGTAATTAAAAGAGAAACAAACAGAAAACAAAGGGAAGAGGGTAAATGGGCATGTGACTTTGGGTCAGGGAAGGAAGAGGAGCAGGTGGTAGAACTGATGAGGGAGATTTAATGAACTGCAATTGACTTCAAATAACAAAGGAGGAGGAACCTAATTCTACCGTTGGATCTGTACACATATGGACTTATCATAACAAATGGTAATCAATCCATCAGCCTTAAATTAAAGATAAGGTGGGCAGGAAGGAAGGGATGGAATTTATTCTCTCCTTCCCATCCCTCCCCCACCAAACAAAATCTGTTTGCATGTGTCCGTGTCTTTGTTGTCAGAATTAGCATCTGCCATCTCTCCACTCTCAACAAAAGCAGTCACCTTCCTGTGCTTCACTATGCCACTGAGGCAGGCCCCTTTAGAAGCTTCCCCTGGAATTCAGACTCCTGGTTACCCTGATTCTGCAGTGTGTTTCACTTGACACTGATCAAGGCTCAGCGGCCTCAGAAATATGCTTGTAGGACTCTGTGTGTAAATGCTCGCTGAGCTTTAATCAAATGCACATCACAGAGAGTCCTGTGTGACAGAAAGCAGAACCACCACTCCTCAGACCTGCCAAGAAGAGCCTCATCTGCAATACAAGCACTTTTCCTCTTTTGTATCATTTTGTCCCTCACTTTCTCATTGTAGTACAAGCTGCAGAAATATTCTAGGGTTTATATGTTATCTCCTTGTTTCAAGGTGAAGACAAGTTCACTATGCTTTCTAAATATATACCCAGGTTTTATGACTCCTCATTAAGTTTTCTAGGATAAACTTTCTGTTTTAAGGCTTGGATCATCCAAAGAGAGCTGCACAGTTGGACACCCCTTTCCCACATATTCAGGCAAGCTTGTCTGTGCACATGTTTTTTTTTGCAGGATTTGCCCTGCATTTGGCCTGGCAGGAAGTTTCTCCCAAATAAAATGCTTCTAACATGGTGTCTCCATGGTCAGCAACTAGTACTTATTTCTCCTTGAGCTATAGCCAGCAAATGCGTGAGCAATTCATGAAGATCATTGATAGATGTTTTAAAGAGTAAAAGTTTGTTAATTACAGGGTAATATCAGGGACTAGGAAACACAATTTTCTGTTCTTGCCATAACCTTACTATGTAATTTCCCAGCATGTTTCCTACTTCTGTATAATTCACTTATTCCAGGAGGACACTCCCACTTGAGCTGAGAGGTGGCAGGGAAGAGATGCTCAGACATGCAGAGTGGGACCTATATGAAGCTGCATTGTGGGGACAAGGGCTGGATGACCAGGAGAGTCCAGAGCTGGTAGAAGGAACATGTGGGCCACTTCATTTCCAGAGGCATTTCCAACGCAGCTACTATTTGAACATAGCATTTATCAATTCAAAAATTTCAATTGCATCTCCTAAGGAAAGGACAGTACAGGCACAGATGTACAAGCACTTAATGTTGAGCCGTGACACATCAAATCAGGAAAGGGGGAAGAGGCAAGATAACAGAAATTTGTGAAACAAACACCCACCAAACTTCAATTCTGCTCCCAATTTACAAATCTGCAAGAGGAGTGGGAGGGACACAATCCAAGCACAACTTTAACTATCTTTCCCATTTCCCTGTTGGCTCAGGTCCTCTTAACCCACACATTGATGCCCTGATGTTCCAGCTTCACAGCAGCTGAGAAGCTTCCACCAGAAGCACCACTGGTGTTGCCAAAGCAGAGAGAAGCATCCCTCACCCACAGCAAGCACTCAGCCCTCTCAGTGAGGATTTCCCAGCCTGAGCAATCCCCCATACTGAGCTATTCCTACCTGGCCATCAGAAGAGGGACTCAGCCTGTTTGGTGGGAGTCATGGGAATTTGGGATACTGCAGGCACACACCAAGGAAGCACAGTTAAACACTCAGCACAACAACACGGTTATATCTGGACAATCTAGCTTTTGCAGGGCTGTCTGTCACTGTTTTTGTTCTCTCAGACCTGGGGACAGGGAACACCAGTGACGGAGAGCACCTGCCATCTTCACAGAATCAGCTGAGTTGGAAGGGGCCCACAAGGATCATTGAGCCAAACTCCCAGCACAGCACCATCCCCAAGAGTCACACCATATGGCCAAGAATATTGTCCAAAATGCTTCTTTAACTCTATCAGGCATCTTGTCTTTGTGTTGGGAATAACCTGAGCATGTTGCTGCCAAGCAGCAGGATCTGCCATCTTGTTTTAGCTTTGGCAGCCACAGGGGACTGAGTTGAACACTTTCTATGTGTAAACCACCTTTTCTTTTTGTGTACTTCTGTTGCTAATATTGTTGCTGCACATTTCTTATTCTATTGCTGTTTGCTTTCAGTAAATTTTTACCTCAACCCTGCCTTTGTCCCTCTCTCACCAGAGGGAGGCAGGACGAAACGGGCAGTGACTGATTTGGGGTTTAATTCCCAGCTGTCTTTTTAAACCACCTCACCTGTTCTAAATGGCACTGCAACTGGAGCATGGATTTGCACTGCATGGGTGTGTTCACTGCTCTTCAGGTACCATGTGGGCTGATGGGGAGCTGATCTGGCACACCCCATAACGCGTTCCAGCAGAGCACGACTGCCAGAGGGCTGCCTGCCCTGTGCTGCAGCCTGCCACATTCCGAGCTCATTTTGCCTCCACCAAAGGCATGGATCCCCTCAGCCCACTGAAATGTGGCCACAGAGAATCCCAAGAAGTATCACTTATCACCACCGGCTCTTGAGAAGACAGACATTTTGCAATAATGCATCACTCCACTGCTCCCACAGGAGCAAACACCAGGGTTCCTGGAGGAGCCATCAGACACGTGTCCCCACACACACATTAGTAAGTCACCACCTCACCACCGTCTGCTTTCTTCTGTTGGTGACTACAATTTTACTCAGACCTTTTGCTAAAGGGTCAGACTTTTTGCTAAAGGGCTTCTTCTCTTGCTTATTGTTCCATGGGAGCCTGAAGCAGAGTGTGTCAATGGCAATGGAGGAGGGAGGAGGTCGAAGTGAAGCTTGGTGGAACACAATTCCCCTCTCAGTCTGGCAGTTTTGGGATCTCTCTCATCTTCTTTTCACCTATGAAAAACTGGCTGCTGGCCACAGCATAATATAGCAACAGGGGAAAGAGAGGAAGAAGGCTTAACTTTTATTTATTTTAGTGTGATCATTAGGATTATGTCAGGGGGAAAAAGCATTAATACATAATCTTTTCCCTGTGCTATACAACACTGGCTGCTTTTAATTTAGAATTAAATTGAAACACTCACTCAGAACAGCTTTGAACAGCAGCCAAGACCTTCTCTTGCATTGTGTGAGCAGCTGGGTAGCCTTTCCACTCTCTTTTTTTTGGTTCACGGTGCCCTTTTTTGAGACCTGTGCTGAGGGTTGATCACCGAAGATATTTCTCACCCTTCCTCAAGTGTCAAGGGTCCCCCTGGCTTGGAGCTGGCACACCAGTCACAGGCAGAGGGGGAGGCCCAAAGCATGTGAGTGAAGCCCCCAGGAGACCAAACTTCAGCAAATAAAGCTGCACAGCTACAAGTATTTCACAAATTAAAGCAAGAAGGGACCTATCAGAAAGCACACCGAAAAGCACATTAAAAAAAAAAAAAAGCTAACTAGCAGTGATTTATGTTTTTTTTCTCAGTGGTGCACATTGTTTTGTATGCTTTGTCGCACACGATGGGGCAAGTTCACACAAGGCGGTTTGGAGGTATAAACAGGACAGACAAGGCTGGGTGGGGTAAAGCCAAATTTTGTTAAGTGAACTGGTCATCCTGTTTTGCTCATACAATAAGCCTGCTCCAGAGGGTTCTCACCAAGCTGATGAGAAATGTGCCCTGGTTCATTCCCTGTTCATTTTAATCTATATAAATACTAGGTTTTGTCAGGCTAAAGAATCCAGTGCAGACTCAAGCGCTTTCCTTAATTATTGGTATTCACGGAAAGAAAGAGTAAGTTTAAAGGAGGGGGAGGAAAAAGATTGCCACCCTTTCAGTGCTGCTGTGAAGGGAGCTCTGCTTATCACAACAGGTGCAAAGGCCACTCACAAAAACAGAAGCAGTTCAACACTGAAAGGCTAAGAAATTACTTATTCTCTTTGTCAGCTGCTCATAGAATGCAGGGTAAAGGCTACTTGGAAGGAAAGAAAGAGGGTAAAAAGAAGGGTTAATGTTTGTGAAAGAAGGAAAGAAATAGAAAAAGAAAGAAAGAAAAAAATATGAAGTACACAAGCCCACAGGTTTTCAGGAGACACTGAAAAATATATTTACCTTAAAAATATATATTAAAAAAAAAAAAAAAAAGCAGAAACAAAACTACATCCCCTGATAGAGCAGGAATGAGCAGCACCGGCAGGCTGGGGACTGGGGGAAATTTTAACAGTCTACCACTCCATCTGAATGGTGAGGGGAACAAAGCCGGCTGAAAGCACAGCATTCCTGCCCTTGCACCCCCGCAGAAAGGGGCTGTGCAGGTTTTCTGATGGCTCTCTCTAATTACACTTTCCTGCGTATGGCAATTCATGGCCAGTTCTGAGAACGTCCTCATTCCTTGTCAGAAGGGTGATTTGTATACCACACCTAGAGAGTCAACATATTGAGGAAAAAAAGTTATGTTAAAAAAAAAAAAAAAGCAAGCTCCTCTGATGTGAAGCCCACGGTTTTCAGGGTTACTGTTATCCCTTGGGTTCTTAACTGAGTTTTATTTATTCCACTTTTTCCCTTTCAAAATAAGGCATCAGAGGCAAAGGAAACCAGGATTTCATTTTGTAACACCCCTCCATTAATCCCTACATCTCTCTCAAGTGCTGCATAAATTTCATCCTCCCTTCCCGGAGCTCACAAAGGTTGTTTAACACCTGGTGCATCTTATTTTCCAAGAACGATTGTTGATTATTTTAGCCCAGCCTGGGATGATGTGCAAACCAGCCACGACTGTTAGATGCTAAGTGTTCCCAGAACCAGATGGTCAAGCCTTCCTCTTTTAAGACAACTGACTCAAAACCATAAAAGAAAAAACCAAAAATGAAAACAATAATCAATGACAACATCAAAAAACACCCTATGGTGGGGAATAAAATATTTCAATGCTGGCACCGTGAGACAGAAAGAAACTCAGAGGAAAGAGAGAGTGTGTGATTTCCAAACCCTGAATGTTAAGCATGCAAAAGAGGGAACACGCTCATCAGGAAATTTCCACTGATGGAAGGTAACAGGAGGAATTCCCTAGTTTAAATATGACAGATGTTCATACCTCTGCTACCCAGAAGCAGTAAAAACCCCCTGTGGCTATTCTGACTGCCCTGCTAAATGAATGGTGAGTTAAGAGTACTAACAAAGCACAGCGATGCAAGCTGCCACTGCTTGCACCTGCAGGTTCTCTGGTACCCACTTCTTGCTTCACAATTTACAGCCAAATGCAAAGCACTTCATTTTAGCACCATGAATTGTCTTTTTCCCTCCTCGTGGTTCTCCTCTCCTTCCCAGGCCTCTTCCATTCACAACTAGTCCTAATTTAGTTGGGCTGCTTGCTCTAAGCCACTGAGGGGGCTTTGCTGGTACACACTGCACCTTTTGCACAACCAAACTTGCCAGTGGCAGGCATGAGGCAGTGCAGGACTTCTGTTCTTAAAGCTGCTTCAGCCTAACTCAGCTGAGAAATTCTACACTGAAGGTTAAATCAGTCCAACATCAGGTTTCAAGAAGGCCTGTTTATATACAGCCGATAGGTTTGTTCTGGTTTACAGAACCAAT